ATGTTTGGAGAGGCGTCGATATTGGATTTTGGCGATTTTAATCAAATGATATTTACTGCCAGTTTGGGGATAATAATATAGGTGCTGAGCCAACAATTCGCGTTTTTCGACCAAAAATTTTGATTGATAGTTTCTTGGTGGCATAGTATCAAGTTAAAGTTCAATATCTCGGATTTACCTTATTTAGACATTTAATTTTTTTGAGATTTTGGTAAACCACTCGAAAATCACTAAATTAAACAGTTTGCTGTGTTATTTTTGACTTTTTTGAGGGTTAAGTACCTGTTTCAGCTAAGAGTTTATTTTTGGGAACAAATTAAATGCACAGTATATTATTTAAACGACAAGTAAAGACAATGAATGTCTAGCAAAACTAATTAATTTAATATTCACACATTTATTTTCGAAAAAAATCGGAATATCGCAAAATTCTGGTATCAGGAGCACAGCATTGCAAAGAGTGGCGTACGCTGATTAGACTGATTACCATTTGTGCACAGTTTCCAGCCCTTGCTAAAATCATTCTTGCGCAGGGGCTTTTGCAAATACATTTACCACTCTCCAAAAATAAATAAATATTCAGTAATATAAAAATAAGTACTAATAATAAATAACATTCTTGCGCAGGGGTCATATATTGTTAGGTACTGACTGAAAATTGTCTTTAAATCTTTAAATTTTATGTTGTGTTACTAGTTTTGATTAAAGTTACTGAGCGTTTATTATTTTTACAATGCAAATTGGATTTTTTTACTGAATAAATTACAATAAAATACTGGGCGTGCTTTACTTAGCATTTATCATTTTTATTATACTGATCATTTTTACTTCAAAAATTAATTAAATACTAATCATTTATCATTTTATACTGATCAAAATTGAATTATTTACTGATCCCTTTATTTATACCTCTTATTTTTTCCCAAATTGTCACTAAAGTGGGTCATTATACTACAATTTTGTGTATTGTTGGTTGCGATCATCATTAACAGTGTCAAATTATTGTCTTAATGTAAAGATATAATTGTAGAACTCGATTATTTTCTTCCCAAAGTGGATGTGTTATAGTTTTTTAAACAGTAAGTAATATTAAAGTCAACTCCACAAATCGATAAATTTTATTTAGTCAAGTTGGGACATGTTTCGGCACCCTTGCGCCATCATCAGCCTTATATTAACAAAACAAAAAGACGCCTTAAGTCATAAATTATGTTAATACAATATGACTTACCATTGACAATTGTTACACATAAAAATAAAAAATAAAAAATTTAGAAGATTAAAAAGTTTAAATGTTCACTGTTAAAAATTTTTTCTGATTATCACAAATGGAAAAATATACAGAAGGAATAGGATTTAAAAATATTATTCCTCTGTAAAAAAGTAAAAGGACGAGTTCAGTGAAGCTGAAGCCTCGCCCTATTATAAAGATATTATCCTATCTTAACGTGTATATGTTAAGTTTTCCTCCAATTTTGGAAAAAATTTAGTATGCACCTCGACACTAAATTCATTTTTTATTACTCGGATATCGCCTCGGCAGATAAACACACATTCGTAATGAAAAGTAAGACTTTAGTGCCTTCATAAAAGAACAACTATTTTGTGATATTGCGCTCAAAAATAACCAAATTTGGTCAAGAATGGCATTATTTTTATTTTTTTAGCCTTTAACCGTTTGAAGCATAGTGGTTCCATACAGAAACCACCTACTTGAATTTTTTTTTTCTATCCGGAGAGTGGTTTCATAGCAAAACCACACTTCCTACATGGGTGGGTATTGGTATGTTATTTATTGAGCTCTATTGCAAAATTGCAACTGGCGAAAACTGCATGTTCAGAATTATCACAAAAACCTCATTCTGTGAAAGATTTCGATTTTTATTCTTGTAAAAAGTGAAATAACTACTCCGTTTTTTTTTGGACGAATGTGTTACTCAACCAAGAGGTAAATATAGTTGTTTTAGATAATTTATTGTCAACCGAATATGGTTTTGCAGCCAAACCAGTGTACCAAATTTAGTTAAAATAAATAAAAAAATTAAGTTAAAATAAACAATTTTTTGCAAAAAAGTACTCCATAATTTTTCTACACATAAGGATGGCCTACACCAAATGTCATTAAAATCGGAAATAAAATTGAAATTAGTGCTTCAAAGGGTTAAGAAAAATACCCAATTTAGGTCTTTGTCTTTTTGAAGCGTTTAAGCACGTTTTTTTTTTTGGCGGTGTAGATGTCGGTTTTTCGTCAAAAAATCTCAGTGTTGACGTTACAAATGTTATTGGAGTCCTCATCCTCCACGTGTCAACGCCCCGTTGCGTAAAAACAGCCAGCAACTGCCACAAACCACACAAATAGACCGTTTCCTCCGTGTTTCTCATATTTCACTCGTCTTTAACACCGCTTTTTACTTAACGAGGGATCAGTTTTAAAACAGCTGCGAAGAGATAAGACTGTCTTTACTTATACACCGGATTACCAACGAAAAACATCACCGGAAAATCACGTCACTCTTTGGACAGTATAATTAAGGCACGTTCACGCTTCATATTCCGCTCGCGGAAAAAGCGACTCTAATGGAGGAGAAAGGAAAAAACGAAGGGTGCGTGAACTCTCTCTTAATTATCGGTGAAAAAGTGATTGCGAAGTATGCGAATTCTTGGAAAAGGAAGAGGAAAAAGGAAATCCGGGGGGAGACATATGCGAAAACGGCTTATTTTTTCAATATTGCGAAAATGCCAGAGTTTTCAACTCACCAAATGCCACGGAAATCTCGCGAGATGCGGTTTTAACTTTTTTTTAACTGTGTGTCTGTATACAGGGTGATTTAGGGATGCGTGCAAGCTCTATAACTTTTTCTCTATCCAAGCTATTGATTTAATTTTTTTTTGAAATGGTAGGTCTAGTAATGAAGCACTTTTCAAAAATATTTTTATTTAATACGGAGTGTCCCAAAATAAAATACACAACTTAGTTCTGTTTTTTTTTATTGAAAACCTCGAACTTTGTTACATTTTTGGATTCTCCACTAAATTATCGATATAACGCAACCAGTTTCTTAGAATTATCTGCATTAGTTTTTGACTTATGTTAATTTATATGTCAAAATAGCGTCGTGCATAAACCCACTTAAAAATTCATAACTTCAAAACTATTGAAGATAACGTAACCAACTTTTTTCCAGTCGATTCCCCAAATTTCAACGCATATTTTGAGATAAAGGCGAACTCTGAGTCGATGTTCCATCGCCTACTACGATTTTTTAAAAATGACAAATTACAAATTGCAATAACTCGCCTTTTTCAAATACAACACTCTATATTTTATTGTATGATTGCATGGCAGTTTTTATGAGCTTTTTGTCGATATAGGCTTTGTGGGGTTTATTTTGTAAAATTCGTGAGATTTCTGCAAAATGAGAAATGTTGATGTTTTTTTTTTGAAAAAAAGCAGGATTCGAGTAGTTCAGTGTTGTAAAATTTGACACATCAATACAATTCTGAAAAGAATATGTCTAACAAAATAAAATTGTAATAGAAACAGGAGTAAATCACAAAGGAAACAATTTTAGTAATCTTTACAAGAACTTGATTGACAGGAAACAATGTAAAAATTTTGAGAAAAATCTACTTATAGAAAATGCTTAAATAAGTCACCATCATGTTTTACATAAATTGCTAATTTTTTAGTTAATGGGCTCCGAACTGTAGCAAAAACTAAGACAACTAGAAATAGTTTTATCAGTTAAATGGAAGACTTCTGTCAAATGTTAGGACAGCGGCCTAATAGATTCCTTTTTTTTAGAAAAAAAATCAACCTTTTCTAATTTTGCAAGAATCTCACAAATTTTACAAAATGGATCTGATAAACTCTATATTGGCAAAAAGCTCATAAAAAATGCTACGCAACGATGTAATAAAATATAGGGTGTTGTATTTAAAAAAGTCGAGCTATTGCCATTTGTAATTTATCATTTTCAATAAATCGTAGTAGTGGATGAAACATCGACTCCGAATTTGCCTTTATCTCATAAAATGTGCTAAAACTTAAGGAATCGAATGGAAAAAAATTGTTTAAGCTATCTTAAACGGTTCTGAAGTTATGAATTTTTGTGTGGGTTTATGCACGACGCTATTTTGACATATAAATTGACATAAGTCAAAAACTATTGCAGATAATTTTAAGAAACTTGGTGCGTTATATCGACAATTTAGTGGCAAATTCAAAAATGTGACAAAAATTAGAGGTTTCATTAAAAAAAAACAGAACTTAGTTGTGTATCTTATTTTGGGACATCCTGTATTAAATAAAAATATTTTTGAAACTCGCTTCATTATCAGACCTACCATTTCAAAAAAAATCAATTCAATAGCTTGGATAGAAAAAAAAATATAAAGCTTCTACGCTGTATGTAAGTTGTTCGGTAAAGAAATACATTTTTTCTTATTTGTTTCTTCATTTTTATTATAATATATTCCATATTGTCGAACTTACTTTTTCGTTATATCTTATACCTGCCGGAAGCAGGAACCTTATGTCTCTGCGCCACCACGCCTCCGGCCAATGTCTCTGCTCCAATACAGTTTATTCAAATTTTTTGGCAAATTTATTTTTTGCAGTTCTACATCGTTTTATGCACTTTTTTGAGTCTCTTGGACCCTTATCTTTTGTTTTTGAAGTTTTTAATTTTTACGATTTTTTGTCAAAATTTAGATTGTTTTTTGATACTCGGAGTTTATACAGCTAATAACTCTGAAACTATTATTTTTTGATACTCGGGGTTTATACAGCTAATAACTCCGAAACTATTATCAATATCTCATAAAAAAGGTCATTGTTTTGCGACAAATAGACAAAAATAGTCAAAATCTATACTCGTCTATGAATTTTAAACAATCAAGTATTTTCCAGGTGTCTCGACGGAGCATTTCACATCTAAAAATGTACAATATAAAAGTGATTTTTTTTTGTATGTATCAAAAATTCTCTTTGGTTCCAGTGGTGGATTGCCAAGTGACGTCATGGGGCCCTTGGTCCCCTTGCGACGCCGACTGCGGTCCCGGTTCCATGTCTCGCACTCGATCGATCAAAATCCAGCCCCAGAACGGCGGCCGTCACTGTCCTAGTCTCGAGCAAAGAAGAGGCTGTCAAGTATCGACATGTCATCACCATCCCGATCCGGCCATCAAAGGTAAGTGGCGACTTACTCACTTCCTTCCATTTCTCCCACAGGGCCGTAAAACATCGATAATTCAAAACAGTGACAATAAAACGAGCGGTTGCGCGACTCACGAATACATTTTTAATGGTGGTGGTGTTTATGGAGCGCCATAGTCGTAAAAGTTGCGGTAAAACGAGAAATTACAGTGCCAAAAAGTGATTGAGAAGTGAGCGAGTCTTTCCAGTCCGGCCCTGGAATCTCTAAAAATGCGTAGCCGCAGCCGCACCCATCTTTATTATTTGATAATAAAAACATGTACGAGGAATAATGTTTTTGTGAAAGAAAGGAAAGAGGAATGTGTGGGGGTGGTACAAAACGGTCAACACATCCGAGATCGATGACTGGACGAATTTAGAAAATTAACGGTTTTTAGCACCGAAACCGTAAAAAGTCATAAATTAAAAAAGCCACTTTGGTGACGTTTGTTTGAAAAAATTAATTTCAAAACAAAAGGTTGGAAACTTTTACAAAAGCTGACGTTTAAAATGTGGAAAAAAAGAAAGTCAGTTGAAAACTGAAGCTATTTAACTTCGTTTCACAGATGATAAGTGATGAATAAAACCGATGATGCATTTGTAATTGAAAATTTTTCGATCTGAGGGAAAAATTTGCTCGTTTGAATAATCGACTTAGAGTGGAGCAGTCGAGATGTGACGTTTAATTACACATTTTTTGCTTTATTACAAGCACTCAATAACAACGTCAGAAAATTCTAAATGGAGACAATATAGATGTTTTCTTTCTATTTTTAACGTTCTTATGCTTTATTTTTTCTTACTTTTCTCATTTCTTATTTTCGACGAAAACGAAAAAAATTGAAGCTATGATACAGGGTGAGTCATATTGATATTGGACCGTCCGTTTGCATTGTAGCAAGACCAGTGTTTAGGTTATTTATGTTTTTTTTGTATACAGATTTGTGGACAAAAAATAATTTTTTAAAACATTGTGTTGTAAAAGACAGTGGGGGGAGACTAAGGAAGTGTCTAGAAATACCGGTTTAAACAATGTCTAGATTAAAAAAAAAAACGTGTTTAAAAATTTCTTAAACAGAAATGCCCATAATTTATTTATAAATTGAGACTTTTGAAAATATCGTGTTACAAAAGACAGTTGGGGAGACTAAGAAAATGTCAAGAAATACCGGTTTAAAACATTTCGAGACTTGCAAAAAAACATTTAAAAATTTCTTAAAGAAATGCTTAAATTTAAAAAATGTCAATCGAGACTTTTTTAAAACATCGTGTTGCAAAAGACAGTGGGGGAGACTAAGAAAGTGTCTAGAAATACCGGTTTAAAAATTATTCAGATTTGCAAAAAAAACGTTTAAAAATTTAAGATTTGAACTTTTAAGAAAATTACGGTTTGACACTTGTTACGATATTTTTTGTTTGTCACCAGAAACCAACCTAACCAAAAACCTATTTACGAATATTCCTAAATTTTAAGCAGTAATTTCTTGTTGATACGATAATATCTATAGGTAGAACAAAACTTTTCTTCTACTAAGGATGTAGTATAGTATGCATTTGATGAAATAGTATATACTCTTCATACAGGGTGTCCCAGGGAGTTGAAAAAATCCATTAGTGACCTTTAAATGGTAAAATTAAAAAAAACTATATAGGACATTATATACAGGGTGAATATAAAGTATGGAACGAAGCGGTTTTATTTTTAATCATTTGCCTTTAGCAAATAATAGTTAATATAAATTAAAATAATATAAAAAATGTGATCGTATTTTCAGAACGAAATTTTGTTTTGTTTTTGAGTTATGCGATTTTTTTTTGTCAAAATTTGCAWTTTATGTGTAAAAATTTTTTTGAAAAAATTAAATTTAAAGCGGATAGTTGTAACCCTTAGAGTATAGCTTTTATGAGAAAAATGATTTTATTGTGGGTTACCACTTAAAAAAATATTTTTTTTTGTAGAATTGAAAAACAAAATGAAATTTCTAAAAATTTTATTCTTGTTAAATTATCACATTTTTATAGTACTTCATCACTCATCAATTAGTTTTTTCAAAAAATAAATAGTTTAAGCAAAAAATGTTTGGTTCCATACTTTTTATTCACCTGGTATGTATACTAAACTACTCCATCGCCTAAAATTATTTTCAACTATACAGCGTGTTTCAAAAATAAGTTACAATACAAACTTGTGTTTTTTTAAATGAAACACTGTATGTTTCTTAGCATTTTTGAATGTAGATTTTTATGACAATGTATTTAAGCAAAACTTTTATTATCGATTTTGCTTAGTTTTAAAAATAAGACGATTTTTTTGACGAAAACACGCACTTTTTAAAAATGTATTACACAAAAACTAAGACGTCTAGAAGTATTTTTTTACTACCACAAAAAAAAGGTACAAGCTATTTAGGTTGTAACATTTTTTAGTGTGTTGCATTGGCAAAGATAAAAAAATGAAGGCATTTGTTAAAAGTTCAATGATTTAAAAAAATTAAATTTAACACCCTATTTATTGTTTTTACATTTAAAATATTATTAAATTGTCTTTCTACAATTATTTACTTTTAGGTGTTTATAATCAATAACTAAAAAGATATTAACGTTAAACATTAAAAAAATAATTACTATTGTTTCAGTAGCCAAAAAGTGCACAGTTGCACAAGAGATGGAAGCAATGATCACTTAATAATCACATTTGTGTTAAATTGAATCCATTATTTTTTATTTTTACAATAAAATAATTTGAATTTCAGTTATTTAACTTTTAACAAACTTTTTAATTTATGAATTTTTACAAATGCAAAACACTAAAAAATTGCTACAGCTTTAAATTCTGTACTTTCTTTTTTACAGAAGTAAGAAAAAAACTGTTCTAGCCGTCTTAGTTTTTCTGTAATAGATTTTTAAAAACTGCATGTTTTCGTCAAAAAAATTGTCTTATTTCTAAAAGTAAGCAAAATCGACTAATAAAAGTTTAGCGTAAAAACATTGTTTTAAAAAGCTACATCCAAAAATACAAAGAAACATACAGTGTTTCATTTAAAAAAAACACAAGCTTGTATCGTAACTTATATTTGGGACATGCTGGTTAAGAATAATTTTAGGTGATGCACTAGATTAGTATCTACTAATGTCCTATACATTTTGTTTTTAATTTTATCACTTAAAGGTCACTAATGGACTTTTTTAACTGGCTGGAACACCCTGTATATTTAGTTTAATTAGAAAGAGGTATTTTGTTGTTGTGTGGCACACCTGGTATACCGCAAGTGTAGCATAAAGCGGGAAATTAAGCGTCGGTGTTTATCAATTAATTCGGTCGTCGATAATTTCCTAAACAAACGAGTGCAAATTGGTTTAATAAAATGTTCGGTTCGAGGTTTCATACCGCTAATGGCGGCGACTCGATTAGCCTTTTAAAAGGGTAAAAGTTAATGGAAAATGAATTCCCGGTCGGTTTTAGTAGCCCATAAGACCTAATTTAATTGTTAACGATGTAATGGTAGATTGAATTATGGGCGTATGGTCGGATAACGAACTAATTAATCCATCAGTGACCGGTCGCATTGGGATGATTAATGTCGATGATTTGTGTACAAAATCGATTGTGTTGTAATGTTCTACGCCACTGGATGTATGGATTCGTTCGTGCGCTGGTCACGTTTTTCACTGCGAAAACTTTATGCGAGTTATTTAATAAAATATTAGGAAAAAATTTAAATGGTCCAACTTTAGCTTGGAACCGCAATAAAGCGTTGCATAAAAATACCACGCCGTTTAAAACACACATCCCGTATGTACGTTTCGTGTTTATTTACGAGCAAATGTTTGAAAAAAGTTAAAACTGATTTTACCAACTGAAACAATCACACTATTATACAGGGTGGATCACTATTTACGCCTATTTATTATTAGACGTATCAATGTTAGTTGATAAAACATAAACAGTAGATAATTACTTTATTTCACTAGACGATAAAAGACTATTTTATCTACTGAAATTAGTTGATAAAAGCACTCTTTAACATTGAGTACAAAATAAAGAGTATTTTATCTACTGAAATTAGTTGATAAAATACAAACAGTAGATAAAAAATACTTTATTCAATCCTGTATGTTAAAATTGAATTTTATCTACTCTTTTCTTCATGTTAAAATGAAATTTTATTGTCTAGATGATAAAAAATACGTCCATTGTTGTATATCTGCGGTTATTAGTTGCTAACGATCTTTGACATTAGATTTCATTGTTGAATTTTACTTTGATATTTATAAATATCGACCACTGACTACAAAATTAGTGAGGATTGAATAAAATTTTATATTGTAAACGACCATAAATTGCTCTCAAAGATAAAATTCAATTTTATCGTCTTGTATAAATAATAACTATTATTTCACTAGACGATAAAAGACTACTTTATCTACTGAAATTAGTTGATAAAAGCACTCTTTAACATTGAGTACAAAATAAAAACAATATCTATAAACAAAACAAAAAATGCAAAAAACAAAGAAAGTGTTTTTATATATTTAAGACATCAATTTTTCTCTAACTTTAAAAAAAAAGTGACAAAAAAACAGAAAAGTATAAAAATCTGCGTGAACAGAAAGTAGGTTTATTGCTTGCACTATTTATTCTTTTTTAAAACTACTCGTAAGTGTTGAATGATAAAGTACTATAAAATTGTGATGTCTTATCATGGATTAAATTTTTAGAAAAATTTTTTGTTTTTGATTTTTGT